AGATTTAAAATGCATCTAGTCAGAGATTTTAAAGCATCATATGATAGCATAGACAGAACTAGGCTCTGCCTAGCAAACGAGAAAATTGAGATCATTAAGAAGCTCATTAATATGATAACAGTCACCGTAAGAAACGCACAATATTAAATCATAATTCATGCAATGTTATCTGAACTGTTATCCATATGAAATGGTGTTCAGCAAGGAGATGCTTTAGCATACTTGCTGTTTAACATAGCACTTGAAAAGTTCATCAGAGATGCAAAAATTAACATAATAGGCAGCATCTTTTATAAATAAGTGTAGATTTTTGCATATGCAGATTAAAGATAAAAAGGCACCAAGGGAAATACACTTGCAAATTAACCAAGATAAAACAAAATACAAGCCAAAGGGGAGGGGGGGGGGGGGGAAAAAAACCCTCCCCAAATATAAACTGGCCTTCCAAATTTGAAACCATGCAAAGTTTGACCTACCTGGGATCTAAAGTTAGATGTAAAAATCATTCAGGTGTGGAGATAAAATAAAGTATTCTCTCTGCAAATACATATTTCCACGAAGTTTCTAGTCACACCTGAACTTTAGGAAAACGAAAATGACACTGTATAAGGTGGCTCCTAGATCAGTAGCAACATACACATCCGAGATATGGACGCTCACAAAGGCAGACGAGAGAACACTAGGCTTGTTTAAGAGAAACATCCTCAGGAAAATCTTTGGAGTTGTGCAGGATAGAGGGCAGTGGAGAAAGAACATGCAATTTTGATTTACATAACTTACATGGTGAGCCAGATCTGGCTGAATGTATTAAAATAAACAGATTAGTTGGGTGGGCATGTAATTTGAATGGATAATAACCACATAATTAAGAGAATGTTTAATGCCAGGCCAGAAGGGGGAGGGGGGGGGGGGGGGGGGGGGGCAATGTTGACCATGATATCAGGTTTTTGGGAGAGAGGAACTGGAATAAGTTGTAAATCAAAATAGAAGACTGGAGGAAGCTTTTGAAGAAGGCCAGGGCCAACACAGGGTTGTCAAGCCAATTATGATATAGCAACTTACCTGATGGGAAAGAACAGGCCCAACTGCTATTTATATTCCTACAGAACAAATGAGTTAAATCATGATGAATATCTTTGAAACTAAAGATAGCTGTCTACTGGGTTGTAGCACTGTAGAGTCTGATAAAAGTTTACCAACTTTTCAGAGGTCCTTGCCTCTGAAATGCTGGTACACTTCTACCAGACTACATGGTGCTGCAACCCAGAACACAGCCATCTTCAGACACACTGCTGTGAAAACCACAAATCCTATCTTTCAAACTACTTACTGTAGATGATACAGTAATGACAAATGTTCTTGGGTTTAGAAATTGAATTTTTAAGACAGTCAATGATATATGATGGATGATCAGGCCTATGATAAGCTTTGAGCCAAGAAAAGTAAGAAAATGTAAATATTGTACAACCATAATGCTACAGGTATATTCAGCTAGTTTCATAAAAAAAACAATTTTTAATTTTGCATAATATTCAAGGATACATGCTGAATGAGCAAGCACATGGGAAGTTTCTGTGTAAGAGAAATAGATAAGAAATTGTAAACATTTGTCAAAGTACCCAACAGTAACACCATGAGCACTATGCTGGTTAAAATACAAAACCCTGAGAGAAAAATATAATCTACCTCACTGCCCAAAGAAATATCAGGTCATACCCTACAGTGATGTGTCTTAAGATGACTGCTCTGACTAAAAGATTTCTTACACTCACTACAGGCATATGGCCTTTCTCCACTGTGCACACGCTGATGTTCCTTCAGATTACTCAGGGTACGATATGAGTTATTACACACATCACATAAATACGGACGCTCTCCACTATGTATGCGCTGATGTGCCTGTAGATGACTCCTCAGACTGAAAGATTTGTTACAGACATCACATGCATATGGACGCTCTCCACTATGTGTTCGATGATGCATCTTCAGATTACTCTTTCTGGCAAATGATTTCTTACACACATCACAAGAATATGGCTGCTCCCCACTATGTATACGTTGATGCCTCTTCATATCATTGTGACTACTGAAAGATTTATTGCACACATCACAGGAATACGGTTTAACCCCACTGTGTATGAGGTAATGTGTTTTTAGATTACTTTTTCTACCGAATGATTTATTACACACATCACAGGAATATGGCTGTTCCCCACTGTGTGTGAGTTGGTGTGTCTTCAGAATACTTTGACAAGTGAATGACTTACTACACACATCACATGCATACGGACGCTCTCCACTATGAATGCGCTGATGTATCTTCAGATTACCTTTTCTACTGAATGGTTTATTACACACATCACAAATGAAAGGCTGCTCCCCACTATGCATACGTTGATGTCTCTTCAAATCGCTCTGATTACTGAATGATTTACTGCACACATCACAGGGATATGGACGCACACCACTGTGAATACATTGATGTTTCTTCAGATTACCTGACTGATTAAATGACTTATTACACATATCACAGGAAAATGGATGCTCCCCACTATGTATGCGTTGATGTGTCTTCAGATTACTCTGACTGCTTAACGATTTATTACACACATCACAGGAATATCGACGCTCCCCATTGTGTAAGTGTTGATGTCTCTTCAGATTACTCCTTAGATGAAATGATTTATGACAAATATGACAGGAATATGGACGATCCTCATCATGTATAACTTGATTCTCATTGAGAGGAATCTGGTAAAAAAAAGAACAAAAATTGGGATAAGTCTCGACAGAAGAATGAGTTTGAAAGCAAGACACAAATTAGATCAGGTGAAAAACTGTGTTCTTCACCAAATACCATTACATGAGCTGTACTTAGTGAAGGAGATAGATAGATAGTTCCTGTAACTCCTAAATGGAGCACAGAGCCTCCTTTCGGAGGTTTCATAGTCTTTAAAGTGTGCATTTAAGAGTAGTGAGTGCTTAGCCCACTGACTCTGCACAAATTATACTCACTCCTGATTTGCCTGCCAGAGCCATCTAGCAGTGAACCAGGAGAGACTTGGGTGAGAAATGGCCGCTGAATTTTGCTTACGAAACATCTTGTATCATGCTGGCAAGGTTCTTTTACATGCTGTAAATCTATGACATGGGACCACCGGATTTACTTCCACTCCGAAGGGAGTTATGCTATAGATTTTTATCACCCTTAAAAATCCATCGAACCCGCAAACCTTGGGTACAGTGGCGAGCACGCTAACTACTAGTCCACAGAGGGCGACATTTAGTGGAGGGGTGTGCTGTAAACACTGCAAGAACCATAGGTCACATACCCTGTTACAAAGAGTAATTCAGAGTGGTATGTGAAATACATTTCAAACTTAAAATTATTCACTATCTGGACTTTTTCCATCATCCTTGTTTAGAAGAAAGAAACTATGACGTTTCTGACAGACCTAACTGCGTAGATACCTCTCACCTGAAGACAGATACACAGCCAGTTTCCTTCACAGAAACAGATTACTAGCTAAAAAATATTTTCTGACCAGTCTAAAATTTATTTTATTGCATGCAGACAAAAATCTATTTACCATATGAGACACCAGACAAGAAACACTGCTCTTAATATATTATTGAATGTTTTTTCACATAATAAAACAGTGTGGTTAGGTTATGAAACATGACATGGAATGATTTGCAAAAATTCCACTAGATGGCACAACCTGTAAAAATCACGGTATGAAAAATCTGTCTTCATCACAGAAGGCAGCAAGTGACCCCACCCACTATGTACTGCATTGAATGGAGGCATATGCCATGTTCCCCACTTATCAGGTTACAGGTTAAGCATACACCACACACAAACTGCACAACACATTTCATATCCAAAATTTTTGTTGTTAACTACTAGACTGAGGAATGAAACACATCATGAATTTGAAAAGTTATAAAATTCCACTCAAATATGTGCTCCTTAAGCATCTTTTCCTCATTAATCCATTATCTCTTAGAATACCAGTTTAAGATATGCAGAAGAAACAACACCTGTAATGAAGTAAAAATTCTGTTTGATTTCACAGTCATAACAAAAAAGCTATCCCACTGCATGCCATGTAAGCGCTTGCAGGGAGAGGCAGTATAGCTCCTACTCATTCCTAACCTCAGCACTAGATAAGGGTGAGTGATCAGCATCATGCCCTGGCCACGTTTCACCCCTGAGAAAAGATCCTGGTACCCATTGGATACAAGACTGGGTGGGCACTAGAGCCAATCTGGGTGCAGAGGCTAGAGGAAAAAATCCTCTGCCTATCAGGGATTGAACTCCGGTCATCTAGTCCGTAGTCAATCACTACATTGACTAAGCTACCCTGGCTCCTACATTCACAATGGAAAAGTGAAATGAATTAACAAAATGTTCAACTTCAAATGTTAATATTTTTCTGAAAAAATCCTCATTTTAATTTGAGTAAGAAAAAACAAAAGAGTAAATGTCACTACATTAAATGGAAATATAGCTTAACCTTTACATTTGACATATTTAAGTTATATAACAATCCTTTCTGTCTGGGAGCAGTTTGTAGTATGGTGCTACTTTGTCACAGTTGTATGTTTCTTCAGTCACATTAAGTAGAATTTAAAGAAACATAAGATGTCATTACATGCATATTCACCTTTAAGGTTAAATTACCATGTCCCACGCTGAACCTCACCAAAGCCACCTTCTCTCTGCTAAGTAGTTTTGAATTCACATCCATGCAAAATCTGGCTTTTTACGAGAGTTACTACAAAAGTCGGCAACTAATGTTTTGGAGCAAACGCGTTATATCAAAGAAAGTTCAAAATATACATATGAAAGGGAACGATATACTCCTCCAATTGGCGTAGTCAGATCAGTTAGGTGTGAATGGGTGTAGGTATAGTAGGCAAGAAAAAAGGCACATTATGGAATGACCGTTCAAAGTGTCAAGAAACTTTTACGACGTTGGAGATGGGAAGTACTACACCATCCTCCATATTTATCCGACCTTTCGCCATGTGACTATGAGTTAATACCCAAATTGAAACAGCCATTGCGAGGGAAGCGCTTTCGTACACGAGAGGACATTTCCAACGCAGTTCGGCGCAAGATGGCAAGATTTGGAGATGGTGAAGCTGATGGTAATTGCCATCTTCCTCGTCATTGGAAGCGAGTACTTGATACACACGGAGATTACTTTGAAGTAATGTGCCTTTTTTCTTGCCTACTGTATCTACACCCATTCACAACTGCCTGATCTGACTATGCCAGTCGGAGGAGTATATCATGCCCTTTCATATGTATATTTTGAACTTTCTTCAATATAACATGTTTGCCCCCAAAAAATTAATTGCCATGACTTCTGAAGTAACCCTCGTATTAACCATTTTTAACTAGTGATAACCTTAAACTTTTCTCCAACTATATATATATATATATACACACACACACACACAGTGTCCCTCAGTTTACGATGCCATCAATTAATGACATTTTGATTTACGATCCACCTCCCACAGCGCCCCACTGCTTCTATTTGCAATAAATTTTCAATCGATGATATTCATATCACACGGCCTTAAACATTGGCTCCTAGGTGGACACAGTAGACCTCAGCCAATCAGCAACCACTTTCATGAAAGTTTGAATTTCAGATGGTTAGCATTTCAGTGTCTAATGTGTGTTGCTTGTGGAAACAGCAAAAATATATTTCCTATATTCGATTAACGATATGATGGTTTCCATGTAACAAATTACCGTCGTCACCCAAGAGGCCACTGTAACTATATCTTTTGGTGAACATTACTGCAGCATCCCTAATGTACCTAAAACTGAATGATGAAATGTTAATATAAAGACCATGGCCCTTGCAACTTCAGTGTTTAATCGAGTGTGTGCTGTACCCTTTATGAGAATTTAACTCTTCATAGGTGAAGCAGGTATAAGGATATGCATGGCTGATGGAAATCAACTCTGTGCTTTGCAGCTGTGAAAATTGCTAGTTCACTTAATACAGTGAAACCTCGATGCATCGTTTTTGGCGGGGGTGGGAAATAAAAACGATGAATACGGGAAAACGATAGTTGCGGGAAAGCAATAATTTTTTTAAAAAAAACAATGTTTCTCTTTCAAAGTTACTTCTTTTTACCAAAAAAGTCTTTAATGGACAACTGGTTTGTCGAAACTTTACGTTTTAGACCAAACAGAGCACTTTCCACGTTCAAAATGTTTTCCTCGTCATGTTCACTAATATTATGCACATAAAAGAACGACTTCACTTTTGCCAATGC